CATATCACCATGGATGGAGACACATAAAACTGTGGAGGAGGTGGGAATTTAGGACTTCAGAGGATGGCCAAAGTGGATTGTGGCTATATTCATATTGTTCCACTTTTAAAAAGGAGAATGTATTCATGCTTTACTTGTTTAATTAAAGTATAATTTGAAAAGATCTTCATTTGTTCTCAGTCAATTATGCCGGCTCTGTGTGTTTGGCTGTGCTCACATGTTTGCGCCCAGGGAGAAAGAACGTTTACTTTGTGTGTGTCTGTGAATCAAGCAGTGATTAGTAAACAGTTTGAAATGAAATATGAAAAGTGAAGGGCCAAACAAATAAAAGCAGAGGGGAACTTATTCACAGTTGATAGTAAAACCTTTAATATTCCTAGGAATAAATTTACCAAGAAATATGCAAGACTTCAACCACAGAGAACCATAAAACGTCTCTAAAAGACATAAGTGATGACTTGAACTGAGAGATGGAGCAATGTGAATTGGCAGGAAGATTATATAATAAAGATGTCCATTTTCCTCAAATTTATCCATAAACTCACTGTAATCCCAATTAAAATCACGGAAAAAATCTTCCTGACACCTGACAGGCTCAAATATGCAAAAATGACCAAGGCAATTTTGCAAAAACAACAAAGGGGGCGGGATTTGTCTTTCCAGTTAGCAAGCAAAGCTCAGGAGCAGACAAATAGATCAGTGGACCAGAAAGAGCCCCGACATGGACCTGCACTGGGATTTAGTGTCAGAAAAACGTAGCAATTTTTTTTTTCCTTTTTTGTCTTTTTTCGTGACCAGTAACGGGATCGCAACCCTTGGTGTCGTGCCTGTACCGCGACTGGCAACGGGATCGCAACCCTCGGTGTTGCGCCCGCACCGTGCTCAGCCAGTGAGCGGGAACCGGTCTCCACATGGGATCCGAACCCTCGGCGGGAGCACCGCCGCACTCCCAAGCGCTGCACTCTACCGAGTGCGCCACCGGGCCGGCCCAGAAAAATGTAGCAATTTTAAATCACCAGGGAAATGACAGATTATCCAATAAATGGTATTTAAAAAATTAGTTATGGGCCGGCCCGGTGGCGCACTGGATAAGTGCGCCGCTTGGGAAGCGCGGCGGCGCTCCCGCCCGAGGGTTCAGATCCCACATACAGACCAGTTCCGCTCACTGGCTGAGCGAGGTGCGGGGGCAACGCCGAGGGTTGCAATTCCGTTGCCGGTCCCCGGTCCGGTACGGGGGCAACACTGAGGGTTGCGATCCGTTGCCGGACACGGAAAAAGACAAAAGACAAAAAAATAAAAAATAAAAAATTAGTTATCAATTTTGAGATTAAAATTAAACACTAATATCACACTAAAAATAAGCTTCCTATCCAGAAAAGACTCAAATCTGAAATTGCAAAATAATATAAAATGTAAAGACAGAAAAGAAAATGGAAAGTTTTAGGAAAAATTATTGGAAAAATGGTTGTGATCTTAGTGTACAGAGGGCCTTCTTATGGCAAGATAGGATTCTAAATTTGACATAAAAATAAAAACTTCTGTAATAAAAGATACAACACAATTAAAAGACAAGGGTCAGAATGGTAGAGAATTGTGTGCAATGCATAGAACAGATAGGGAATTAAAATCAAGAATATATAAAGAATTCCTACAAATCAGTAAGAAAAAGATAACCCATCAGAAAGGTGGACAAAGGATATGCACAGATGTTCCCAACAGGAGGAAATATAAATGACCAGTAAACCCGTGGGGAGACCATAGCATGACCATTCGCTCAGAAAACACTGATTAAACCAAGAAGAAACCATATTTCACCCACCAGATCTGCAAAGTTTAAAAGCTGGCAATGGTCTGGAAAAATGAGGATTCCTATTTACTTGTGGAACTTAAACTGGTACAGCCATGTCAGAAGACAACTGGCCATTATCTATTAAAACTAAAACATGTCCTAGTGGACATGCTAGGACCCAAAGATCCACTCTCTGTACCTGCTCTAGAGAAATACTTCAGGAGGAGGCACGTACCAAGATGGTCTCTGCAGCACTCTTCATAAGAAAGGAAACAACGAACTAAAGGACTACGGATGTTCAAGAAGGGGAATCATGTAACATTCACGTGGAAGAGTATAATACAGCTGTTAAAAGGAGTGAACAAGAGCTGTTGTATGAACCAATGGGGGTGGATCTCAAAAACGTTAAGATTAAGTGAAAAATACAGGATACAGCATAATACCTATGATGTGGGATAATTTACTCGAAATACCTACATGAATACTGAATATTAGCATGGAAGAAGATACATAAAACTTTTAACAGTGGCTACCTCTGTGGAGGGAAAAGGAACCGAGGTCTCAGGTGGCCAAAGGGACCTTTAGTTATATTCATATTGTTCCACTTTTAAAAAGGAGAATGTATTCATGCTGACTTGTTTAATTAAAGCATAATTTGAAAAGATTCTCATTTGTTTTCAGCCAGTTATGCTGGCTCTCTGTGTTTGGCTGTGCTCGCATGTTTGTGCCCAGGGAGAAAGAACGTTTACTTTGTGTGTGTCTGTGAATCAAGCACAGTGATTAGTAAACAGGTTGAAATGGAAAATGGAAAAACACAGCCCAAACAAGTAAGAGCTGAGGGGAACTAATTCACAGTTGACAACAAAACCTTTAATATCGCTAGGAATAAATTTATCAAGAAACATGCAAGACTTTAACTGGAGAAAACCATAAAACTTCTCTGAAAGACATAAAAGACCACCTGAACTAAGAGTAGAGCAATGTGCATTGGTAGGAGGAGAATGACAAAGATGTTAATTTTCCTCAAATTTTTCTGTAAACTCAATGTAACCCCAACAAAATCCCAGCAGAAATTTTCCTGAAACTTGACAGGCTAATTTTAAAATTCATTGTGATGGGACTAATACGCAACAATGATCAAGGTAATTTTGCAAAAACACAAAGGGGGTGAGATTTGTCCTGCCAGTTAGCAAAACATATTATCAAGCTCAGGAGCAGACAAATAGATCGGTGGACCTGAAAAAGTTCTGACATTGATCTGCACTGGGATTTAGCATCAGACAAAGGTAGCAAGTTTAAATTGGTGAGGAAATGATGTATTGTTCCATAAAAGGTATTGGAATAATTACCTATCCTTGGGGGGGGTTGGGAGGGGGTTAAAGTTAGATCCTAAGATTCATGCATACGGAATTTTTAAAAATATGGTATAAAGGCTTAAATATATATAAACTGTAAATGTTAAGGAAGAAAATACAGGAAAAATGCTTATGACCTTGATATATGGAAGGCTTGCTTAAATAAGATTGCAAAAAAAAAAGGCATAAAAGATTGGTAGATTTGACTGTATCAAAATTTTAAATTTTAAATTTTAAATTTCTGTGAGGCAAAAGATAAATGTCAAGAATCATAATGTATGGGCCGGCCCGGTGGCGCACTGGAGAGTGCGCTGCTTGGGAGTGTGGCGGTGCTCCCGCCGAGGGTTCAGATCCCATGTGGAGACTGGTTCCTGCTCACTGGCTGAGCGCAGTGCGGGCACAACACCGAGGGTTGCGATCCCGTTACCGGTCAGTAAAAAAGACAAAAAGGAAAAAAAAAAGAATCATAATGTAGAAACTATTTGCAATACATATAACAAAGTATTAGTATACAAAATACATAAAGAACTCCTAAAAATCAATAAGAAAAAGAAAAAATACCTTAAAAAAAAGAGAAATGGGCAAAGGATATGGACAAGCAATTCAGAGCAGGAAATATAAAGGGGCAGTAAAAACACAAAGACTTTAGCGTTGCTGGTAATTCTGAAAAATGCAAACTAAAATAAGATACTATTTTTTAGGATTGATTAAAATGTAAACTTGGAGATGATCCAGGGAAATAGACCCTCACACACTGCTGGCAGGAGATTAAAATAGAAAGGCACTTTTGAGAACATTCTAGCAGTTTCTATTAGAATGTAAGATGAGAATACCCTATAACCCATCAATTCTATTTCTAAATATCTGTTCCAGAGAAACACTTGTACTTGAGCATAAAAGGCATATACAGGGATGCTCTTACAGGTCTGTCTTAATGGGACAACATTGGAAGCATTTTAATAGTCAATCAACAGACAACAACTAAATAAAACATGGCACTCAGTGAAGGTCACCAGCAGCCAGCCGAAAGGAGCACTGGAATGAGCTGCAGCAGGTGATACGAGGAGAGTCCTATAGGGTGCACAGTAGCACCTCCACTGTGTACACCACCACATCTATGCAAGCAAATAAAACAAGAGAACAGAGTACATGTTTTGGTAAGCATAGGAAAACATTTTGGATAAACAGCAAATGCCTAAGAGCAGCTACCTCTAAAGGCGGTGGGGGAGGAGGGGGTTGCTGAGGTGGAGGTGGGGGAGGCCAATAGAGACATCTTTATCTGTAATGTTATAATTTTATTTAAAGGAAAATGTATTCATGTATTACTTGTATAATTAAAATTTAATTCAAAAATTCTAATTCATTTCCAGCCAATTAGTGCTGATTTACATGTGTGTTGTGTTCTCTATTTGTGTGCCCAGGGACAAAGCACATTTAGTCTGTGTGTGTCTGTGAATGAAGCATAGTGATTAGTAAATTGATTAAAATTTGGAAAGCAAAATGAAAAAAGGGAAAGTTTTTCCACTCACAAAAGCAGCAAAACTAATAAGGTACTCAGGAATAAACCTATTAAGAAATGTGAAAATCCTTTATGACAAAAGCAACCAACCTTTATTAAAAGGCATTAAAAACAAAACAAATAAGACTGTTAAACGGAGACAGACACCATGTTCACAGATGGGAAGAACTGATATCCTAGATGTTATTTCTTCCTTCAATAGGATTTTTTTCATGGAACTTTTACAAGCTGATTATAAAATGTGTGTGAAAAAGTAAATGTGCAATATAACCGAGATAATTTTTAAAAAGAATAAAGGGCTGGTGCTTACCTTATCAGGTAGTGAGACACTTTATAAAGCTGTGCTCATTAAAATGTGGTATTGGCCCAGAAACAGAAAAGTAGATCAACAGAATTGAAGAGTCTAGACACAGGGAATTGGAAAAAAAGATGGTGTTGGGGCAATAAATGGTGCTTAGCAAACTGTACATCTATTTGGAAAAAGATCAAATTAGATCTCTGTGTCATAGCATACACGAAAATACATTTCAGATGAGTTAAAGACTTAAACATTTCAAACAGCTATAGACGTTTTAGATGCAAACACAGAATGAATATACACTGTGGTGGGCCCTGCCTGCTCCAGCACTAGCACCATAGATTTCATCAGCACAATCCGACAAGACGCTTTAATATCTAGTAGGTCTCCAGGCAGACCTCGCCTCCCAGCTTCTGCAAGAGCCTGTTGAGCATCTCCACCTGGGCCTCACAGACTCCTCTTCCTCTTTCTCTCCAACTCAACCTGATCCTGGGAAGAGGAACTGCCATACTGGATGAACTGATGTCTGAAGCCAACTCCTGCCACTGTGCTGTGTCAGTAAGGCATTTCCTTCTACAGAGTCCATTTCTTCCTTTATGAGATACAGTAATGATCCGTTTCTTGTGGGGAAATGTGAAGTTCATGTGAAATGATAAATGTGAACTTGGATAAATGGCAGAGTTCACAAGGATGAGGGGAGCAGACTCTACTTTTTCTTGACCCCCTGCTCCCCCCAAAACCCAAAAAACCCTGCCACCCAAGACTTGACGCCCCTGTTATTCTTTCTTGCACTGTAACTTCTAGAGAATCGTCCTATTCTTTTTGGTCAAAAGAAGTTTGAATGTTGATTTCTGATATTTGATTTGAAGGCAGAAAATACTGATTCGGCACCCAAAAGAGCTTACTGCCAGTTGCTAGGTGCTGAGAAACACAAAAAATAATAAGACACGATTCCAGCCACGAGACAGGATAAAACTGGTGCTAATTAGAGCTGTAGTTAGTACACAGCTCAGATAAAAGCTCCCAAAAGAACATGGAGATCAAGTTACTCTGTAAAAGGTAAATAATTTAATTTTGCCCCATTCAGTGAAATACACATTATTGCCCCAAACTAATTTATCCACCTCCACAGTTGGTCCTGGCCCCTTTGGGAGCTCATTTCACTAATTGTCTCTATCTCTAATCGCTCTATTACTCAGGCTCTTTACCCTCAAAACATTCACATGACAGCATTGCTTTCCTTTAAGATTAAAATTTAAAACACTTGGATCTTGCCCCTTTTTCCTTTCTCTCCTTAATCAACCCCCACCCAAACTGCTCTGGCAAAGGTCCCCAGAGGTCTCGCAATGGCTCTGGAGGGTGCCTATCAGCAGGACACCGTGCTCCCAGTTCCAGGAGTGCCACCATGGAGACTGTGCACTTGGATTGAGGGGCTCCTGGATCAGCCCTTGTCGCCTGACCTCTCTGCCTATTCCCATTGCTGACCACTCCATATTTCTGCCTAGAGACCTCCCAGCCCTTTCTTTTCAGCACTCTCAGAGGATTCTTCTCTTTTCCAGTCCCCAAATATGAGTGCTTCCTGGGCTCATTTTCTAGCCTTTCATCCCTCAGCCATCCTCATGGCCTCAAAATGCCCTTGAAACCTGTCAACGTCCTGATCTGCATTTCCACTCAGGAGCACTCAACTTGTCTCCTGCCTCCCAAGACCAGCCCTTTGCACAGGCTGTCTCTCTGACTCGAGTGCTCTCCCTCAGTATGCTTTGTCCAGTTAGCTCCTTCTTCTTCACTTGGTTCAGGGCATCACCTCCTCAGGGAAGCCTCCCAGAGTCAGCAGGGCAGGTCTCCCTTCGTGCGCACTCTCCTGCACTTAGTACCTTTCTTTCAGAGGGCCCATTGGTGCTGGAAACTGTAATGCATGTGTGTGATTATTTATGTCTTTTGCTCCTGCTACCATGCAAGCTCCACAAGAACAGGGATTCTTGCCTATTTTAATTTGGTCACCAAAGTATCCACAATGCTAGACACACTAAGTCAGAATATGTGGATGGATAAATGTTTGTCACAAAATAATGGATGTTTATCACATTTGAAAGTTGATGTCTGCCTATAATTTTGCTCGTCTCTCCTAGCCTCAACCTCCCCTTACCCATCCTTCACATCTGGAAGTCTTCCTTCCCAACTCCTTAAAGGATTCTTAGTGATGGATTCATATCCCCCTCATATTTCAACATTACTCCACCTTGTGCCCCCATCATTCTCCAAAACTGCTCTTATTAAGGCCACCAAAAGCTTACTAATCATGAAATCCAAAGGAAAAATTCTGCCTTTATCTTATTGGAATTCTCTGCTGCATTTGACAGTGTTGATTACTTTCTCCTTGAAACTCTTCACTACCTTGGTTGCCATGGCAACTCCCTCTCCTAGTTGTTTGTCGCATCTCTCAGGCCCTTGCTTCTCTTTCTCCTTTGTTGCCTGCCCACACCTTGATCAGCTCCTCAAATGTCACTGCAGCTCACAATTCTGCCCTGGGCCTTCTCCCATTCTCTCCCTGGTGATTTCACTTATTCCCTTACCGAGTGGTGATGGCCTTGGGCCAGTGCTTCCAGTCCCGTCTCTTCCTGAGCCATAGACCCCAGCATCTAAGTGCCTACTGGGCCCCACCTGGCTGCGTCCTTGACCCCTTGGCTCTACCTGAGTCCACTATCCTGCCTCTCAGCCTGGCTCTCCAGGATATGTTCCCTATCCCAAGGGCCTCTCAACCATCCACCCATGGTTCCACTCAAGACACGTGGGAGTCACCCTTGGCTTGACTCTGTCACTCGAGCAGCTAATCATTCAGCAATTATATCTGGTTTTTATCTACCACAAGTTTCTGATCTCTCTCTCCATCCCCACTGGTCTAGTTCAGGCCTTTCCCTCTCTCATCTGGATGTCTCCTGCCTCTGGCCTGGTTACTTCTTATAATGAATATTTTTTTTTTTTTTTTTTTTACTTTCTAGCATCTTTTATTCCTCCCCAAGGCCCCTTATTACCTTTAGGGAAATTTCCTGTTCCCCATTTTATGCGGCTGTGGTGGGACCTGGGCTGCTCTCTTACATGGAAGTCACAGAGACCTCTTCTTCAGGTCCTGCCTCTCACCAGCCAGGTCCTGTCTGGAGTGGCATGAGGCCCAAGTTCAGCCAGCTAAACCAAGGCTCTCTCTTGACCTTGACTTCTGTCCAAATATGGAAGTAGTTAGAATGGTTCGATGTCTAGGAGACACCACCAGGGAGAACCGCTATTGGGACCCTGAATGTAACATTCAAGACTGTGACACAGTCCCACCCACTTCATTGCTCACTGTTTCCTCCCTCTATCCTGCTTCTCTGGGTCTTAGTTTCCTTCCCTGTGAAATGGGGCTAATTGTGGTTGTCTGCTTCACTGGGAGTAGGAGGATAGGGTTGTGACGATCAGATGAGATGATGGCCATGACCCCATGGTACAAACTGTAAGGAGCTGTGCCTATACTGGAGTGCAGTCCTAAGACCCAGACAGCCTCAATCTTGACTTTTATTTCCGTGTTTGTTGATTCCCTGGATGTTGTCATGAAATCTTTCTGAATCTTCATTTCTGACATTTGATTTCCAACAGAAAATAATTATTCTGCCCCTACCTTGCTGGTTACTTGTTGCTAGGTGCAGAAAGGTACAAAAATGAGTAAGACATGACCCCAGCCATGAGGTTAAAACCACTGCTAATTAGAGCCATAGACAGTACCTGGAGGGCGGAGGAAAGGCTGCTGAAGAACATGGAGGTCGGGTTACCTGGTAAAATGGACATAATTAAATTTTGTCCCTTTCCACCAACACAACTAATCCCTTCACCTCTACACTTAATCCCACTGCTCTGGGGCCCTTTTCACTACCTGTCGCTGCTCTTCAATCTTGGTTCTCACAGCCTTCCTCCCTCCAAATGTTGTGGGTAAGAATCAGCACCTTCCCTGGGCCCACTGCCTCCTCCCACTCCCCTTTCCCTCCTGCTTTCTCAGCCAGACTTGAGATCATCCCCCACCCACCTGGGCTTCTGCCCCTTCTCCTGAGGTTGCTGTGGCAAAGGTTTCCAAAGGCCAGGTCCAGGAGGTGCCCTCAGCTCCCCTCACCTCTGTGCAGATGGCCCACCAATGACCCATCCTTCTGGAAGTTCTCCTCCCTGGGCTTCTAGATCTCCACTTTTTTGGTCTTCTGCTCTGGTTCCTTGTCCTCAGTCTCCTCAGCTGGATTCTCTTCCTGTATCCATCCTTAAAATGTCAGTCATGGACCGGTTCCTGGCCTTGTTTCCATAAACTCTGCTCCTCCTCCTTTAAGCACATCCTTGGTTCTCCATCTATCCCTGTTGGGAGAAGCCCACACTTCTTTTGCGAGCTCCAAATGAACCTGTATACTTTCTTACTTGACAACAGCTCCAGTCAAGGTCACCAATGCACATTTTTCTCCCTTGCCACCCTTGTCCTTTGATCTTGGCCTCTGATTTATACAGATAGGAGGACTTTAGGTGACAGTCCTTTGGACCTCTCCTGTCATGTCTATCCTTAATTTTATCTCAGTCCAGCTCCAGCTTGGAAATTGTCCCTGGCCCCAATCGCTACTCTAGCAGCTTCTCCCAGAGAGGTGGCCACGCTGCCTGCTCTGCCTTCCCCTTTCATTTTCCTCTGCCCCATCTTGCACAGAAAACTGCTCCTGCTCAGGATCTAGTGGCCCCCTAATTACTACATCCAGTGGGCTCTCAGTCCTTATTCAAGTGGCCTTTCTCTTTAGTCTGTTGATTATTTTCTTCTGGAAATGCTGCACATCCCCAGGTTACCATGCCAACACAGCCTCCAGGTGCTTTTTCCATATTTTTCCTACTTCTTTTTTGCCTTTGTGAGCTCCCCTTTCTCTCTGCACACTCCTTAAATGGGGGCCAGAATCTCATTCCTGGCCCCCCTCTCTTCTAAGCTGGCATAATCTCCTAGGACCAGCTCACCCAAGCCCATGGCTACAACTGCTATCAGTTCCACCCAAATCTGTTTAAATCTCCTGCTGGGATCCAGACCCTCAATCTATCTCCTTGTAGGTAGGTTCTTACATGAGACATTTGGAGGAAGGCTGTGCAAGCTGAGTTTGAAGAGCAGGGATAAATGAAAGGGGCCCTGGAGCAGTGGGATTAAGTGTAGAGGAGAAGGAATTAGTCATTTTGGTGGAAAGGGACAAATTTAAGTCATGTACATTTAACCATCTGACATCTTTGACTCAATTTGTCCAAAACTGAGCTCAACAATCCTCTTCCATTACCTCAAGCCAGCTCATTCTCTTGGGTGGTCTTTCATCCACCCAGTCACCCAAGACAGAAACAGGAAAGGCATCCTTGACTCTTTCTGTAACCCTAGAACCAACCAGTCAGCAGGTTTTCCTAACTTCACCTCTTGGATCTAACTACTTCTCTCCATCCTCTTGGCCTCCACCCTAATTCAGGGCTTGCCTTCTCTATCTGGACCAAGGCAATCATCTCACTGGCCCTCATACCTCCAAATTTCTCCAAGCAACCAGAGTAATCACCCTCAAACAGAAATCTTACCATGGCACTTGCTTGCTCAAAATACTTCAGTGGCTCCCTGTTGTCACTGAAGACCCAGTTGTTCAATTAGACACATATGGCACTGTGATCTGGTCCCGCCCTCTCCATTGACTGCCTCTATCTCATGCTTCAGCAACCCTGAACTGTCCGTGAGTTCATACATGACACTTCTCACCTCTGTCTCTGCCTTCTACCTGAATAACTCCTACTCATCTAATTGTCTCTCCTAGGCACCTCCTCAGGTACTCCCATGAAGCTTCACACATGCACCATCAGTCCCAGCTGCCCCATGATGACCTGTCCCCAGCATACCTCTGGCCTGCTACTTCCTAGGTATCATTTTAGCCTGTGTGTCTTTCTTACCTCTTTGTATGCTCAGGAGAGGGATATCTTATTTATGTTCATATTTTAAAACCTAACACCATGCCTGACATAAGTAGACACAATAAATGTTGTATGAATATATAGGCCATTTACCCTCTTGACACTTTTCCGCTCCCTTCTTCTAACATATTACTTTCCAAACAGTGTAAACCAATTCACATTCCCCCCAGGAGTGTACAATAGCACCTGTTCCACTGTATCCTCATCAACATTGGGTATTCTTAAACATTTTCCCCCTAATTTGTTGGTTAAAACTTGCATTTCCTTATTGTTTTTACTGTTGATCTTTGATATTTTAGTCAATTCTATTTCCTCTTCTGTAAACTCTGTTTAGGTGACTCACATACTTACCTGTTTTGCTTTTACTGTTAAAGTTTTGAGTTTGTTCTTTTATACATTATGTATCTGCAAATATTTTCTCCACTCTGCTTTTTGTTTGTTTGTAATATTATTTGACTTTGAAAATATTTAGGTTTAATGTAGTCAAATTGGTTGGGCTTTGCCTTCTTGATGTAAGTTTTTTAGCTTTTTAGAATACATGGGCTCCCCCATTCAGACACTTGTTAAATATCCAATTCCTTTTCTGATATATATATTTTTTAAAACCAGAAAGACACATTGGTCTAATTTTTAATGGGCTTATATCTGCTTTTTGAACTTCTCAAATAATTTTTGAATTTGGGTGTGTGCTCTGAGGTGAGGTTGGAATGGAATTTCTACTTTCTAGTGAACAGTGAATTAATAGTCTGAGCCTCATTTTTGCACAAGGCTTCCCCTTTTGGATCTAGCTCAGAGCTAAGCTATTCCTGGTTTATTATGGCATTTAAGGCCACAGCCTTTTCAGAGAACATGCTACCTGGACAGGGAACTGGAAGACTACTGGAAGGAAGGTATGATTCCAGGCACAGTAACAGTGAAATACAGGGAGGCTTTTAAGCTGTGGGAGCAGAAGGCCTTTCTGGAAGCGCTGCCAGGAGAAGATATGGAAAGATGGGTTACCCACTTTGACAATATGAATGGCTGAATCTAGTTGGCATCTATCAGTCCTGGAGGCTTACAATTCTGTGAGGAAACACAACACAAGAGTCATAAGAGAGGTAGAGCCCCACCCCACTCTTCCCCTGCACCAACCTACCTGCGCAGACTCTGCCAGAACATTTCATCATCAGCAGAAAAATCACCTCGACCAGTTCCTGCCAAGTTCACCTTCCAGGTGAACCACGATTTCTCCATGCTGCAAGATGTGGACTTCACCTGGGGTTACCATGCCCCTTGTCCAATTACTGCTCTAAGCATCAGGGCATCTGAGGGTGATGCTAGAGCTGGAAAGGAACTCTGGGATTATCTAGACCAACTGCCTCATTTTACAGATGGGTAAGCTAAGACCCAGTGAGGTTAGTAGAAAGCATCCTTGCTAGGAGAACTCACTATGGAGACTTTGCCCACCTAATCTTGATAATAGAAATATTTGTAACCCTCAATTCTAAAAGGATTACTTAGTAAACTTGTTTATTGTTCAGGAAAGTGGCACAGTATGACACTGGAGTCAGAAGGAGACCAGCCTATTTCTGTCAGTTCTTGCTGGGAGACCTGGAGTTTGTTCTCTCCTTTATGAAATGGAAATAATCAAGAATCCAAGGGGATGGAAGCAAACTTACTTAATAGGCTGGGGGTGAGTCTATACAGGGGTCCTCAAACCTCAAGACCCAGAATGATCTGATTTCTCATTTCAGATATTTATTTCACATCAGCAGATATTTATTCAGCACTTCCCAGTGATGGGTTGAAGACAGATGATGTCACTTGCTGAGGGCCCAGGTTTGGGTGGGCGGGTTGTTGCATACTTGCTGTCCAAGGCTAAGCCCCCACCTGCCCATCTAGTCCAGTCCACTCCAGGCACCTTGGGACACAGGCCATCACTTGCTCCTGTTCACTGTTGGCCTTTGCTTTCTTGATGTCACTTCATTGCTTTTTAGCTTAGAGGAGGTTCCCCTACCCAGACACTTGTTAAATATTCAGTTCTCCCTGGTTTTTAATAGGCTCATATCTCCTATTTGACTTTTAAAAATAGTTAGTCTCTCTTCCCTGGCCCCTTCCCCTCTGAAAAGTTATGTGGTCCAGCCCTTAAGTCCTACCTAACTCCAAATAATCTGCTTTGTGCCTCTATTCCCCAGCTCTCCACCCTCAGGCAGTCCTCCACCTTCTTCCACTCATGGCTATAGGGGGGGACAAGGACAGTGGTTAAAATGAGGCTCTGGAGGGCAATGGAAGGGATGCAAATCCCAGCTCTGCCCCTCATTTTGATCAAGCAGCTTCATCTTTGGAACCTCTTCTGTATAGTGGGCATAACCATGCCAACCTTAGGAAGTTCTGTGAGGGTTCAGGGAGGTATTGCTGGTACAATGCTCATCAGGGTCTGACTAGAAAAGCACTTGCCAAATATTAGCCAAATAAGAATAGTCCAAATTGGTCACTTCTACTTCTCCATCTCTCTCCCCTCACAGTTGGAAGAAGTCATGTGTCCCTCTCATCTCCACTGCTTCCTCTCATCCCTCCTCTTCCTATGGTGACATGACATCTGCTCTTCCACTCTGCTGACCCTGATATGGACAAGACCTCCTAACTGACCAACCCAAAGGCCCCTTCTTGGTCCTCTTGTTGCCACTGGAGACCTCTTAAAATCCCTCCCTTGATATCTTCTTAAGTAATCTGGCCTCTCAAACAAAAGGGGTCAGCTCTTCAGGGAGGGCAGGTGGGCTCACCTGGCTGGGCACCTGGAGAAGCAGAGTAGAAGCAGCATACAGGGATAGTGGGAGCCAGACTGTGAAACACTCCAACTGCTCCAGCAACAGAGAGAACTCCATCCTCTAGGCAATGGGGAAGGACAAAGGTTAAACCAAGAGCCACAGAACATAACCTAAGCTGGTAAGGAAGCCCAACGGTGTCCGTGAGGATGATGGTTTGAAAGGGACAGGATTAGAAGCAGAGACATCTGGTGCAACTGTTGAGCAAGAAATGATTGGGTCCAAATTAAAAAGAAGAGATGGACACGGGATGATTAAGAGCTGGACAGACAGGACTAAAAGTGCAGTGGTTTAATCATGACCAGGGATAGGGAGACCCAGTCCTATCTGACTGGTTCAGAACATCACTCACCACTGCACACCCAGACTGCTAGGAGGCCACAGCTGCAAGGGCCATTATAGTTGCAGTAGCTGTGGTGTGTGCTGTGCGCCTGTGGTCCCCAGTTC